TATGACATTCCAGGAAGACTTGCTGAAACCTGTTTATATATTACACACACACACACACACACACACACACACACACACACACACACAGAGGCAGGGAGAGGGGGGGAGGGAGGGAGAGAGAGAGAGAGAATGAGAATGTCTTTCTGTTATCAGGATTATTTTTTGAAAAAAATGTAAGCCCAATATATTATATAAGACTACTGAGAAAGAGAGCTGTGTTGATACCATAACATTACAATGATAGACAGCTTTTGAAGCTACAATAACAGAGAGCTTTTGAAGCAGTGCTGGAGTTTACTGTATCACTAGAATCTAAGGTTTTTATAAACCACCAAAGTTTGTTAAGGAATCCAAACCCTTTTTCTTCTCTTATGTATTTCATAATTAGCCTCTTGCTCTGGATGACAGGCTAAGGTCAAATTGTACTGAATCTCTCCAAGAGACAGAGCTGCCTCCACTTAGTGTTGATTCAATAGGTTTCTGACAGAGTCCCTTTGAACTTAACACGGTCTCAGTTTGGAGTGGTAGAGAAAGAGTTAGGAATAGTCACTGGGAGAACAAATCTCTGAGCCAGATATAGCAGGCATATCAAACCGATATATAAGTGTAAGACTACTGAATCTTTTTAGGAAGAGGGCTTTTCAGTTTGATTTAAAAACTCAGCAGGGTGCAGTTTATTCTGAATTCTTCTATTTGACCTATCTCATTTTTGATACACGCATGCACGCACGCACACGCACGCACACACCTTTCGTAGATTTGAAATTCCCAGGGTTCACAGTGGTAAAGAGAAATGACAACTTTCACCCTCACTTAAAAAGCAGATCTACTGTAACTACAGGAGAAATAAATGGAAGTATTCTCAGTTTCATAACAAAAATGCAATTGGCCCAATACTTATTTAAGGAGTCATACTGTACCTTCCATTCTTTGTTAGGAAAATGGAAAGGCTGAGAATAGCACCTCTGTTCTACGTTGTAGGGCATACAGGGATGCATCTCTGAAGGGTTTTGAAAATCAGTCCAGACTTCTTGATAAGCACTGCCAGTCTTCCCCACAGTATTGTCTCACTGAGATCAGATAGGAGAAAAGATGCAGAGTCATCTAAGAGGTTCTATAGGCAGCCTGTCAGCCAGCAATTCTTCTCATTTTTTTAGCCTTGCTAGTCACAAGTACACCAATGCTCTATCCTTCTAAGAGGTGCTGAAGTGGCAACCAGGAGGTGGTTAAGGTACAGGTGAAACTCGAAAAATTAGAATATCATGCAAAAGTTCATTTATTTCAGTAATGCAACTTAANTCAACCCCCCACTGGCAGTTAAAAGGAAGAAACAGCCGAGATCTCATATTGCTCCTGGAAGCACGAAGCCTGAAGATGACGAATGAGACTTCGTCGAAACGTCGCCAAGACACCTCCAATTTTACGCAGGAAAAAACCCGAATAACCAAAGACCGACATACATACATACATACATACATACATACATACACACACACACACACACACACACACACACACTTTAATAGGCCCCCCTGAGAGCTGAGCCTTATATTATTTTAGTAAAAATTCCTGTCATATGTAAAATTCATAGTTCTATGATATTAACTTGAACAATATTGCCGAATTTTTATTTCTCTAGTTTCTTGACAATGGAAGTCAGTACAGTGTAGTAGATACATATTTTCCTACACCTCAACTGTTCTTTTCAGTGAACTGTGTTTCTTTTTGTGACTCGCACCTTCATTATTGGACCGGTGTAGGAAAATCAGAAATTATTTTCCGCTGTAAATTCATATATTAAATATTTCAGAATACAGAAATGCCAAAGTATACACAATCTTATTTGTCTTCCTTTCTTATCTTTCAGCCATATTTATTTGAGATTTCTTTCTTGCTGAAACACTGGGCTTGTATGATGGAGATTTTGAGTGAATTCAAAGGAAACCTCTCTAATTACTGACCCCAGTGAGTCAGAGGCATGCATTAAATTAACATCAGGTACAGAGTCTGAATAAAATAAACAATGCTGTTAAATAATAATATTAACAGCCCACAGTTCTGGCTCTTCATCAGAATATTATTCAGTGTATTTCCTTCAATATACAAGCCCATATCCTTTCTCCAGGTCATGATATACTTGTGATTGGTCTAATTGTTAAATGGATTTATCAACAAGTTAGTTGAAAACAAGTTTATCAACTACTCAGATCCTCTCTGTTCAGAATTCTGCTTATTTTTTCAAGATGGTGGGTGTTACTTTAGCATATCTCAGGTAAAATATTGTAACCAATAATGGTCACTTTGTTCTTTTAAATTTGATCTCTATGTTGAAACGTCATCTTCTTTGCAATTTTTATTCCCTGAATTGTATGTGGGTTTACAGACCTTTATAGAAGTGTCATTATAAATTATCTCACACTGATCTTTCTATTGGCTTTGTTATTAAAAACCAAAACTGCACTGCAGAAATTCAAATACCATGATAGGTGTTCCAAAATTATATGGGGGGAAATGGTCTAACACTTAAGTTTGCCGAGTCTATTGAAAATCTGTTGTGCTTGTTTCATTGTAGTGTTGCTGAAAACCACAAACAGAATCTTATGACTGTCGCCAACCTCGGAGTTGTTTTTGGACCAACGTTAATGCGACCACAAGAAGAAACCGTTGCTGCAATTATGGACATCAAGTTTCAAAATATTGTAGTTGAGATTTTAATAGAAAACCACGAAAAGGTAATTTATATTTGAGTTGTGCATGTTCCATGTTTTTTAAAATGATTGTTTACCAATGTTTACTGATTTTGGTGAATATTTTAGCGGATGACAGTTGAACAGAACATTGAGAAGAGACAGGAATTTGACAAGTAATAGGGTTTTTCTCAAGGCGTCTGCCAGCTCTTTTTGTCTTCCTGAACATTTTTATTGATTGGGAGATGAAATGTTTGGATTTCTGTAATCCTTTTACTGGGGAAATTCTGAAATCCCAGGCCATTCATAACAGAAATTGCATAGTGGAAAAAAAGAGTTTCCCTCTCTTTGAAGGGAAAAAAATAATGTGGGTGTGACATTGAATGACTCACCAATTTAATTGGAATGAATAATCTTGTACCAGCTTGAGCTGCTTTATTTAAACTGTTATGGTTCCCTTTGGAATACAGTTTGTGGTGTGGGGGTACATCCAAATGAGTGATGCTTTGGGAATCATCAGAAGTAGTTTCAGCTCAAAGGGAAAAACACACAGAAAAATATGGAATTCATCATGTTAAAATTATGTATATGTACAGTAAATCCTCTGTGAAATTCATGAAGATCATATTTTCTCTCTCAGGAAGAGGTTTTGCTTAATTCCCAATTCTGTTTAATCCCAAGAGACAATTTAATCTTTAAGGCTAATTCTAGCTAATTGAAAAGAGAAAGAAGAATGGTGTAAAATATTATCAATCCAAGGAGATTATTAATTTGTTTTGTACATTTTTGGTGAATCAGTGCATACTCTCATCATAAACTTGCTTACTTTCCTTTGAAGATTAGTGCAGCATTTGAATCAGCTGTGTCAGCAAAGAAATAGCAGCTTGAAACTTCTTGGCTTTAGAAATTATTATCTGAATTGTAGTCTGTAGAGATTGCCAAAATAATTAGTGTGCAGGTCATTGTATTGTCTACATACAATCTGATAAAAACTAGACTACCTCAAAGCATTTAGTGTTCAGACTTGCGTATCTCAAAACTACAAAAATGTAATGACACTGTTGAGTGGTTTACCTAAGAAATATTTTCTCTTTTCCTTTATCAAAAATCATTTGTCTACTTTACAGCCATTTTTGAGAATTACTACTTCCCCACATATTTTTTTAGATTTTGATACAAATTGCCCCCCCCCCCGCTTTACATCAAGTTTCTAACTATTTCAAATTCTCTTTTCTTTGTTTAAAAAAATCATAGATATTTAACACGGTGCCTGATACTCTACAGTCAAATTCCCAGTTGCTCTTATCTCGAAAAAAAAGTACAGATTCAAAGCCACCATCTTGCAGTGAAAGGCCCTTAACACTTTTCCATACACTGCAACACAATGAAAAGCGTAAGTATCTTTATTCTCTGTGCTATCTTGCCACAGCCAACTTGTCATCCCCAACTTGCTCTGGGACAACTAGCCACAGGACAAGAATTACATTAACATCAGAGAAATGGTGGAGCAGAATTATTAAAGAAAGGATGCAAAAAGTGAACAAAATGAAATGTGAATAACAAAAATTAAAATATTTTTTTAATTATTTTAAATGCTAATATTGAATTGTCCACAGTGAGTTTTCCTGCAGTGAGTTGGCCATGGCAAGTTGGCTGTGGCGAGTTAGTTGCGCCAAGTTGTCCCATTCCAGTGCCGAGTATTATGCTGCATTCTTGTCTTTTGTGAAATGTAAACTATAGATTTCATTTTTATCTATAGATCCTTAGTCTTAAGATAATGGAACCTAGTAGCAAAGGTCTTGTGAGATCTATGGCTATAAATTGATTCATAAAGCTAGAAAAGGTTTGTAGGACTGAATGCAACCAGAAGATCCCATTAAGAATAAAAGGTATAAGTCTACTCTTCTTTGTACATACACAACAAACACTCATTGGTTTTAAAATGTATTCTGGGGTTCTAGAACTGTAGCAGGAACCATAACTCACAATTACTGTCAGTTCTCTATTACCTAAATAATTTGGAACAGTTTATTCTTAAGGAAGAGGCAGCAGTATTAAGCGAGTAGGATTTTTTAAAGTTCAACAGAGAAGGAAATGCTTAAGCTGAAATGGTTTAGCTAAATATATTGAGAGGAAGGACTAAAAACCCAGCAGCCTGAATGCAGAAATAAGACCCTAAATAGTATAACAATATTTTTAAAAATAATGTAGAAAGTCTAATATATGTACTGGCCTATGACTGAAATACATTGAAATTTGAATTTGAATTCTAATATATATGTTTTCAGAAATTCCAATGTTCTCTCTTTAAAAAAAATTTTTCTTAAAAATCATGTCAAAGCATCAATTCAATTTGGTCTACTTTTCAGAGGAAAACAGAAACAGTATAATTAACTCCAGCCTAGAATCGGTCATATCATCATCAAACGCCAACAGTTTGCTCCAGTCCAGTAATGCTGTTCAGCCTAACAAGAACTCAACTGAATCTAATGCAGAAGTTATCAAACCCAACCGGCCAAATTCACTGTAAGTATACGCCTGATAAACATACCAGCAGTTCTTATCTACTGATCTTCAGATACCATGATTGGAAACAGATGCTATTCCCCACTAGGCTCTTGTTTCAATAATATCATGTAAAATTAACTCCTGGCTATGTACTGAGGGATATTTTAAAAAAAACCCTACTATTTGGGCAAATATTTAATCTTTGGGTCCTTTCCCCAAAACATTTTTATGCTGCTGCTTGCTGATTTGTGCTTATGTCTTGTACTTAACGCAAATTATGTAGGGGCATTGTTTAGTTTCATTTGCTTTTAGAAGTTGAGGAAGTCTGTCTATTTAGGAAAGTGCTTTTGGCATAGCTGTTCAGCAACTGAATGTCTGCCAGTCTTTCTGCTGTTTGTGAATTGATAATGCTGTAATGCAATGATTTAAATCATAAATCTTAGGCTTAGCAGATCAGTCTGGTGTATTAGGAACTGTTATTACAAATTGTAGTTGAATCAAAACATTTTCTTTTTCTAAGCTCTGTTACCTCTGGGTTATCCACTTGAATTTTATCTACTCCATCTTTATATCTCTTTGGCAAGTAGAATCCATTCAAGATTATCACAATGATTAAGTATTACAAAACCTAATCAAAGACTGCTGTTCTAAGATCTTTTGTTGCGGAACATATTTGTGTGACATCATTGCACTGTGTGATTTTACCACCCCCAGCCACTGACTGCTAGAGAGAATGACAGATGTTTTGTGTTGGTTGACATTCTCCAGAAAGGGAGATATGAAAGATAACAGCTGATGTTTTTGGTAGCAGCCATGCATATTCCGTAATACTGAAATATTGGAATTTAGTGTGCTTACCAGTAAAGGAAGTAACTGCTTTATCTTTGCCAGTGTCTACACTGTAACCAGCTACTTTTAGAACTGTCATAAGCATAAAGCTAAACTAATGTTGCCTTTACTCACATAAGTGTTTAGTCTATTGAGAACCTGAGATCCTAGAAAAACATTTTTGTAGGTTTACTCATTGTTCAGTCACAACTCTAACACATTCCAATTAGCAAAGTAGCCTCTCCTTTTTCAGTTCTTCTAATATGGGCTGATTTTTTTTCTGGCAATGGAACAGTTTTAAAGTGGAGTCAGCAAGGTTTGACATCTTAATTGTAGGTCCTATCTCTTGTATTTGCCAGTAGAAGCTTTACAACTGGGGAAAAAAATGCTGTTGGCTCAAAAAGAAATATGTTGTCCTTAGCTATTGAAAAAGCTATTACATTATTTTTCAAATATGACAAAAATAAATCCTTAATAAATGGAGTATTTCATTTCCTGTGGAAACAGTGGGATGACTAATTTTATATTTCATTTAGTAATAAAGCAGTGTTTTAATGCATCTAGCTATTCAAGAGGCAGGTTCAGTCACTAAATGCTGAGATAAAAGATTGCCTATAGACTGTGTTCTTCTCATTGTGGTGCTAAGAATTTTTGTTTCCAGAAGGAAAAATAAAAAAAAATCCTAAATCAGTGAAATAACTACTCTATTTGAAAATCAGAAATATTACCAAAACAATGAAATTAGCCAATTTTCATCTATATTCGTTTTGTTATTATCTCAATTTTAAAATACTGAAGAAAATTTTTTGAGGTGGGAGTTGTATTCTCCAATATGCCTGTCATTATCCTTGCTTATTATAACTCTTGGAAATCTCTTTAGTAGTTTCTATCATCTTATTTAAAATAAAGGGATAATTTGACTTTTCCTATATTATGTGGGAACATTTCTAAGCTCACACTGAACTCAGAGAAACACAGAAACAATGTATTATAGGGAGACAGCCATATTAATCTGTGGCAGCCAAAAATTAATAGAAGCCGTATCATCTTTCCAGGCTAACATTTTTTTGTATTTTATTTGTATTTTGTATTTTATTGGTCTTGTATGCTGCCCACTCCCGAAGGACTCCGGGCGGCTTACAATAACCGGGGGAGGGGGTTAATTGGCCAATTGGCCAAACAACAATTTAAAATACACAACATTCATAGTTACAGTGGGGCTGGCTATTTCAACAGCCCCCCAGCATGCCGGAGCAGCCAGATCTTAGTGGCTTTG